AAAAAAAAAAAAAAAAAAAAAAAAAAAAAAAGAAATGCAAACCAATAGTGGAGAAAGATACTCACCTCAACATACATAAAATAAAATACAATATAGATGTGTGATAAATACTTAAAATGTAATTAATAAAAGACAGTGAATTTGATAGAAGTTTGGGTAAAAAACCTGAACATGCACTTTACAAAATTTGATTCATAAATAACTGGCCAAATATTAAAAAGTACTCACTTTCATTAGTCTTTAAAAGTAAGAGTTAATCAGGCCGGGCGCGGTGGCTCAAGCCTGTAATCCCAGCACTTTGGGAGGCCGAGGCGGGTGGATCACGAGGCCAAGAGATCGAGACCATCCTGGTCAATATGGTGAAACCCCATCTCTACTAAAAATACAAAAAATTAGCTGGGCATGGTGGTGCGTGCCTGTAATCCCAGCTACTCAGGAGGCTGAGGCAGGAGAATTGCCTGAACCCAGGAGGCGGAGGTTGCGGTGAGCCGAGATCGCGCCATTGCACTCCAGCCTGGGTAACATGAGGGAAACCCCGTCTCAAAAAAAAAAAAAAAAAAAAAAGTAAGAGTTAATCTACCAGTTGTACCATAGGCGCCCATAAAACATACCAAAATTTAGAGACACAATGTCATATGTTGTTAAAATTAGAGAATAAATGAAATTTATTCATGGCTGGGGAAATGTAAATGTAAATCCTTTTTTGGCAAGCCAACTATTAGCATTCTTTATGGGCTAGATGTTCTAATTCTAAAATATAGTCAACTGATTGCCTACATATACTTAAAGATATACACAATATTTTTCACTGGATCCGTTTTTATAGTACCTCCAAATTAGAGCCAAAATATTCTCCAACACTAGGATGGCGAAATAAAGTTGGTGTATTTATGCAAAATAATCCTATAAAACAGAATAAAGAATTTCTTAGATGCAACAAAGTTGAAGAATCTGAGAGACAAGTTTAAGCAGAAGAATGGAAACACACAAAGATTATATTACAGTGGCTTATTTATATAAATTGCCAACTCCTTAAAATAGTATTACAAGTTAGAATATTGAATAATATTTTAGGAAGGTAATGGTTAGAAAACCTGAGAAATCACTAAGGTAATATACAGAAAACATTGCAATCAAGGTAAAGTGATACGCATTTTTTTTTCATAGAGAATTACATTTGTTTGACAACCTCTCCATCCTTTATATCACAAAGGGAAATAAAAGAAATGGCACTGTTCTCAGGGCATTGGCGAAACTCATTGAACTTTACAAAGGAAAAAAGAAAAAAGGAAAAACAAATATGTGTTGGATTTAGACCTATACCTGAAGGTGGGACAGGATCACTAAGAAGGCTCCAACCCTGAACACCCAGAAACACTGTCAACCTAAGACTGAGACTTCATCAGAATGATGGAGGATGCTTCCCCATCCTATTCCCACCCCAAATAGATTAACTGTTGTTGAGTAACAGATCAAAACAGTGTCTTCTGGGAGAATGAACAGAGTTTAGAGGAAGACTTAAAGTTGAGGAATAAGCAGATAATGAGAAAATCTGGCAAGCCAGTCCAACCCCAAACACAAAGTAACACTAGATCAGCATCAAAACTGTAGTTCCTTGGAAGTACCTCAAACAGGAACAAGTCCCCAAACCACATCAACTCCTGGAAAGATTGAGTCGATATCCCCCACTTAAACACTCATGTAAGGCCTAGTATAAGGAAACACGCGTAATTTGCATTCTATGTTATTCTACACTACATAATTGTATTCTTTTTTATCCTGCGTTTATTTAAGCAAACCAAATGTGTAGAGATAGGAAATTAATGGGCCATAATGTTTTACAAATACAGAGAGAAGATACAGAATATTAAGACCCTGAAGAGTGCATTTGAGAACACAGTTTTATCATAGGAGACCACTTGCAGGGACCACATGATATCCATGGCTGACACACCCATCTGTCGTTCCTTGTTTGCTGTCATTCAAGTAGTTTCAATAGATAAATTGGTGATTTGCTTTCAAACAAATATTAATGATTAGGTAGCCTTGAAGGGTTTGTAAGTGACTATACTATACAACGTGATGCTAGGCTTAATGTGTCTTTTCAATGCTGTTGTACATTATGCAGGGGAAATAATGTCTTATTACACAGTAACTGTGAATCCACTAAAATGTGAACTAGTTTACCTAGATTAGCCCTTTGGGCAGCACGATGTTGCTCTAGTCCACCAAGGCTTAAAGATCCACAGTGTAGAGGAAAAAATATGAATTAAACATTTCTACTAAAATATATTTTAATAGCTGGTATTAACAATTTGGGTAACAAAAGACAAATTATATTAATTACATTGTAACATTCTGTAAGTCCCTTCATTTGGAAAACACTCAATGTTTTCTTCAAAACTGTTATACTCTTAAAGTTAGTCTTGCAAATTAATTGTCAACCAAAATTCTACATATTTTGAAGCAAAAAGAAGTCAAATTGAACAATGGTTCAATTTTGATCACAGGTCAAAGATCAACAGTTTCACCTCATGCCTGTAATACACTTGGTGCTGCTTCTCAAATGCTCAGCAATTCATTGCATGGACACTGGAGAATGGGACTGTGATGCAGTTTTCTCTTTTCCTTTAAAGCACATCATTCTTGTACTTTAAAGTGACAGGGCAGCATCATGAACCTCTTGTGAGGTTAAACCACAGAGGCCCAAGCGAATCACCAGCTTTTTTGGAAGAACAAAAGGAAAGGGAAAAAATCTTTAATGACCCTGGGAACTGGAAAACCTAGAAATACAAGTGCTAACATATACATTCCTAAATTCAGAGATTCCTACTAGGCATAAAGAACTCAGCAGGTTAATGTCAGGGCTGCAGCTGAGCCTGGAAGAAGGCCTCCTGGGCCTCAACTCGAAGCTGAGAGGGAGGATGGCAAAAAGCAGATGCTGTGAATGGTCTGTACCCTACGAGCCCACCAAATTAACCACCCCCAAGACAAAGCCCCATCCTAAGAAGAAACTGATCACCGCTCACTGCAGCCTTGACCTCTGGAGCTCAAGTCATCCTCTTGCCTCAGCCTCCTTAAGTGCTAGGGTTATAGGTGTGAACCACCTTACCAGGCCCAGGACAATGCAAGTTTTGTATAATATGGTGCAAAAATATTTGAAATATGTGTGCATTCCTTTTTAACCTTTTCTAGTTATATTGATTTACTTTATTAAATATTGAATAGAAACAATATATTTATAAAATATTTATAATATATATAGAATAAGCACATAATGAACACCTGTGCCTCCAGCTTCTTGTTTAAGAAATTAAACCAAAAGTAATTATAAATGCTAATGATTACTTTTGAAGTCACCTGTACAACTTTTGATGATTACCTCCCCTGCTTTCACACTCTAATGATGGCCACTGTGAGCTCTGTGTATATTGAACCATCATTCTCAGCAAACTGACACAAGAACAGAAAATCAAACACCTCATATTCTCACTGACACGTGGGGCTGAACAATGAGAACACATGGACACAGGGAGGGGAACATCATCCACCCAGGGCCTGTCGCCAGTTGGGGGGCTAGGGAAGGGATAGCAGGGGTGGAGGGATTGGGAAGGGATAACATTAGGAGAAATACTTAATGTAGATGGTGGGGGATGGACGCAGCAAACCACCATGGCACGTGTATTCCTGTGTAACAAACCTGCACGACCTGCACATGTACCCCAGAACTTAAAATATAATTAAAAATTAATTAAAAAGAATTGTATTTTATTTTAATACCGTGTGCACTACATTATTTTTTCCTAGTTATATGCTATCACATTTAGTAAGCATAATGAATTATATCAGTGACACTTTTGCCATTTCATAGTTTCAGCTTTTGTGCACTAATTATTGCAAATATAAAATTTCTACTGGCATAAAACCAGGCACACAGACCAATGGAACAGAATAGAGAAATCAGGCATACATCTACACATTTATAAACAATTCCTCTCTGACAAAGGCATCAAGAACGTACATTGGACAAAGAACAGTCTTTTCAATAAATGACCCTGGGAAAACTGAATAACTATATGCAGAAAGATAAAATTAAACCCCTGTCCCTTACCGTACACAAAAATGAAATCAAAATGGATTAAAGACTTGAATGTAAGATCTGA